GAAAACAGCAACTGAGGAGTAGTACCTACCACAGGGAAGTCAGTAGCACCGGGCGGAAGACTGAGAAGGTGGCGAAGAGCACCAGCAGCTCCCGTACCTCCAGCACGAGCAGCTCCTCCAGTACCCCCAGCAACACCTCCAGCACCAGTAGCACCAGCACCTCCAGCACCACGAGCTCCGACAGCGCCTGCACCTCGAGCACCAGTAGTACCTCCAGCACCTCCAGTGCCTCCAGCTCCAGCTCCAGCGCCTCCAGCACCAATAGTACCTCCAGTACCTCCAGTGCCAGTAGCTCCAGCACCTCCAGTACCTCCAGCTCCAACGCCTCCAGCACCAGCAGCACCAGCACCTCCAGGGTCAGCAGCTCCCGCAGCTCCAGCACCAGTAGCACCAGCACCTCCAGTGCCAGCAGCTCCAGCACCCCCAGCACCTCCAGTAACAGTAGTACCTCCAGCACCAGCAGCTCCAGTACCTCCAGCACCGGCAGTACCTCCAGTACTAGCAGCTCCAGTACCTCCAGCACCAGCAGCAGCTCCAGTACCCCCAGCACCAGCAGCACCTCCAGCACCTCCAGGCCTAGCAGCTCCAGTACCTCCAGCACTCGTAGCACCTCTAGTACCTCCAGTAGTGCCTCCAGCACCTCCAGCACCAGCAGCACCTCCTGAACTAGTAGCTCCAGCACCAGCAGGACCGTACCCTCCACCACCAGGACTGCCTCACCGAACGACCCACGATCGAATCGCCTGCGGCGAGAGCGTCTCAAATAGAGCAGGCTGCGGTGGCTGTCCAGCTCCAGTACCTCCAGAAGTGGTAGCTCTAGCACCTCCAGCACCAGCAGCAGCTCCAGTACCTCCAGCACCAGTAGTACCTCGAGTACCTCCAGTAGTACCTCCAGGCCTAGTAGCTCCAGCACCTCCAGCTCCAGGACCTCCAGAAGGACTCGCAGCACCCCCAGAGTCAGCACCCAAAGTCTCAGCACCCCCAGAGTCAGCACCCAAAGTCTCAGTACCCTCAGTCCCAGCACCCGCAGGCTCAGTGCCCTCAGTCCCAGCACCCGCAGGCTCAGTACCCTCAGTCCCTGCACCCTCAGTCTCAGCTCCAGTGTCCACTGCAGAAGGCTGCAAGGGCGGGAAACCGGGGGGGGTAGCCAAACGAGGAGAGCGGACACCCCCAGATGTACCACCCCCAGGCCCAGCTCCAGCAGCCTCAGCTCCAGAGTCCACAGCAGCAGGCTGCGGAGGTGGCGAAGACGGCCGAGGCGGGAAACCCGGGGGGGTCTCCAAGCGAGGAGTGCGGCGAGTGGTCGCCGTGTCGTCGGCGGCGGTGTCACCCCCCTCAGCTGGGTCAGAGGAGTCAGAAGATATCTCCACTGGCTCATCCAAGGGGGGTGGGTCTACCTGAGACACACCTGAGGGAGCAGGACCCTGTGGGGGAAGGGGGTCTACCAGGGGGGGGACTGGTACCAGGAAGAGAGGCGCGAGGGGGACCGGGTGGGACGCGTGTGGGTGAAGTCGGTAGTAACAGACCGACTCGTCGAAGGTGACGTCCTGAGAGGACAGAACACGACGCGAGGCAGGGTGGTAGAACTACCAGGGCGGGGCGTCGGTGGGGAAGGCCAGGAAGACATAGCGGAGAGTGCGAGGACAGAGCTTGCTCGCTTTGGTATCGCGAACAAGGGAGAGTGCGCCCCAGACCCGAAACGACGACGCATCACCAGGCTGTCCCGTCCAACGGAGTGTGGGCGAGGTCTCTGGAGCAGAGACACGGGGCCAGAGGTTGAGCTGATGCGCGACGTATCGGACCGCAAACGGCCACAGGAAATGGGGAGCAGCCGCATGGATCATGGAGGTACGAGCAACCTCGGCCAATGCGACGCTCAGCGATCCCATTTTGCTGCGGAGAGGCCGGAAGCGTGAACGACTGGGCGATGCCCTCGTCCTGACAGTATGTCTCAAGGACGCCAGAGGAGAACTCACCACCCCTGTCAGAGTGCATACGCAGGACTGGGAAGTCCTGCTGAAAACGCTGATGCAGCTGGAGACGAGTAGCACGGATCCAGGGGATCAAAACACCGCTGACGTCCGCCTTGCGCCGCAAGGGGAAGACGGTGGTGTAGCGTGTGTAGTCGTCAACAACCAGCAGGAAGTAGCGCTCCTGGTCCGTTCCACCGACAGGGGCCGGGCCCCACAGGTCCAGGTGGAGAGTCTGCAGAGGAGCAGTGGTCGGAGGAAACTCGGAGGAGTGAGGAGCGGCGCGCTGCCGCCCCTCGACGCAAGGAAGGCACGGCGGGGCAAGCGAGCGCGGCAGGGGGGGCAGGGTCCTGGGAAGGCCAGAGACAAGGAGACGGGAGTGCATAATGCGTAGACGCGGCAGGGAGGGGTGACCAAGACGGTGGTGCCAGCGCTGAGTCTCGTGCGTGAGTACTCTGCACGAGCAAGACGCAGCTAACTGTCCCGACGCAGACGCCCGACTCGACGCAGCCACCTGACCTGACTCAGCCACCTGTGCAGACGCAGTGGTCAGTGTGTACAGACTAGACCCAGGCTGTCGAGTGAACGTAGCCAGGTGACGGCCAGTCCGGGAGCACGTACAGATCGCCACACGCTGCCCTCCAGGAATAAAGGTATCAGCCCAGACATCCTGAATGGCAGCGTTGCTCACCAAGTTCGTCGAGAACGTGGGGAGGTGGAGGCCTGACAGAGAACCGGAGGGGACTGCTGGACAGGGAGGACCGTGGAGGCTCTCGCAACTACTGGGCCCCCAGAGGGGTCAGCCAGTGAGACTGGGACAGGTGCTGTGAGTGGTGTGACTGTGGTGCAATCACGAAAGAAGCAACGTTACGCGCCTGAGTCAAGTGTGAAAGTGTGCAAGACCTCAGCGGAGGCAGGACCTGTGGCAGTAGACGCACTAGCACCTAGAGCGTCGGCAGACTCACGGGCACCTAGAGCTGCAGCAGACTCACTAGCACCTGGAGCGGCAGCACACTCACTAGCACCTGGAGTGGCAGCAGACTCACTAGCACCAAGAGCAGCAGCCTTAACACAAGGATAACCTCCACCACCAGGCCTGCCTCGCTGAACAACCCACTCACGAAGCTGCTGAGGGGTGGGGTCGTCCGGGAGAGGCAGTGCCCGCTGCTGTCCACCCCTGGCCGCAGCAACTGCCGCGATAGTGGCCATGACAGACAGCGACGGTCAGGAGTAGGTCCAGCACCTCCAGCTCCTCCAGCAACAGCAGCACCTCCAGCACTCCCAGCAGCACCTCCACCAGCAGCAGCAGTAGCACGAGTAGCAGCAGTAGTAGTAGTAGCAGCAGCAGGGCGGCTCAGTGGGGCTGGGCGGCCGCACCTCCAGCACTCCCAGCAACACCTCCACCAGCAGCAGCAGTAGCACGAGTAGCAGCAGCAGCAATAGTTTGTTTTTTTTTTTTTTTTTTTTTTTTTTAGGGTTTAGGGATGCCTGCGGCCCACGGGCTGCAGGGGCGACGCGCGGCTCGGCAGGGCGGCGCGCGGGCTGCAGGGGCAGCGCCCACGGGCTGCAGGGGCGACGTGCAGCTCGGCAGGGCGGCGCGCGGCTCGGCAGGGCGGCGCCCAGGCTGCAGGGGCGACGCTCGGCTCGGCAGGGCGGCGCGCGGGCTGCAGGGGCAGCGCCCACGGGCTGCAGGGGCGACGTGCGGCTCTGCAGGGCGGCGTACGGGCTGCAGGGGCGACACGCGGCTCTGCAGGGCGGCGTACGGGCTGCAGGGGCAGCGCCCATGGGCTGCAGGGGCAACGCGCGGCTCGGCAGGGCGGCGCACGGGCTGCAGGGGCAGCGCCCACGGGCTGCAGGGGCGAACTCGCGGGCTGCAGGGGCAGCACGCGGGCCACAGGGGCAGGCACGGCTGCAGGGGCAGGCACGGCTGCAGGGGCAGCACGGTCGCAGGGGCAGGCACAGCTGCAGGGGCAGCACGGTCGCAGGGGCGAGCACGGCTGCAGGGGCAGCACGGTCGCAGGGGCGAGCACGGCTGCAGGGGCAGCACGGTCGCAGGGGCGAGCACGGCTGCAGGGGCAGCGCGGTCGCAGGGGCAGCACGCGGGCTGCTAGGGCAGCACGCGGGCTGCTAGGGCAGCGCGGCTGCAGGGGCAGCGTAGGAAGAAAAAAATTACGGTTAGGGCAGGGCGGAACGTTCGCTGGGCCCTAGGAACGATTCTGCTCTAATACCATGTTAGAATAAGCAGGCAGGAATGGTGGACTAGGTAGCATGCATGAGTACAAGTACCTAACCTTAAAGTGTTGTACCCCTTGTAGGCTAACCCACTATAGCCTAGAGATAACACAAACATACAGTTTGACAAAGGATGCAATAACCGTTTTGCTGTTGCTGTTGCGGTTCGATACAGTGACGTCTCGGACAACTGCTCAATACCGAGTCAGTTGTTTGTCCTTGCTGTCGCGCTGTATTTGTCGAGTCAAAGGTCGCTGCCCTTTGACCTTCGCGTAACCTCCGGCTGTTACTTGTCTGTCAACCTCCTCGGTTGACTCACCATTGCTTCGTTGTAGTTTGCCTCGTTTACGGTTCGATGTTACGACACATAGGAAGCGTTAAATTACTTGTTTCCAACAATGACACTAATCGGGCGAGTGCCTTACAAAATATTGTACCAAACATCTGCAGAGGTGCACAGTTAGACATTTTAGGAATTTCAGTTCCTAGTCAACAATCATGATATTTGCCCTAATGCCTTGGGCCCTGCTCCTACCAATCGGGAGGTGGGGAAGCTGGAAAGAAGCTAGGAGTGGGCATGCTATGCGAATTGCGGTGCATGGCTTCAGTCAAGCTAGGGGCTAATGCCATCGCTATTACACTACCATAACATATCCCTTCACCTCACCAATATGTCTACTAGTGCCCACAATCGCTTCAAGAGGCTGCTTTTGCCTTAAAATATACGAACAGCTCTGAATCAAATAAAAGAAACCATATCGATTCAAACAATGACAACACATGGTCAATAGCGGCCCATCAACCATCCTCAACAGTCCTGTCCTGCTGTGTCTCCTCCCTTATAGACAGTTGCCTCCTCTCCTCCCTAAGCGACAATTGCTTCTGAGCTAGCGAGCCCTGACCAGCCCCTACCTTCTGCCACCTCCTCCCACTACCCAACCCCCCTCCTGCTCCTACACCGCTTGCACTCCCTCCCTTGGTCGTACTCGTGTTATTCTCACTAGAAGACCTTGTCAGCAATGCCCCCCCTGCTCCACTCCCTCCCCCTATACCTCCTACTCCCCCTACTCCCCCTCCTCCCCCTCCTCCCCCTCCTGCCCCTCCTCCTAGCCCGCCGCCCACACCAGCACCGGAGGAATCAAACCCCGCCATATCAAAGAGCTCCAGCACCGGCTGTAACGCGGTTACCACCTCGGACATGCGCGGCCGCTGCTTGGCCTTGCGGGTGAGGCAGTCTCTTGCTACAGCCGCCGCCGTCTGAGCGCCCTTCACGCTGTAGCGGCCCGAGAGAGCAGGGTCCATGATTCGGTAGAGCTTGGAGGGGGAGGCGAGAAAGGGAGCCGCCCACTCTGCCAGTGACTGCTCCTCTTTCGGTCTGCGATGTAACAAGGGAATCAAAAGGAGGGAGGTGTGTTACACAAGGAGGGGGTTCAGAGCGGTGAAGGAGGGTGCCAATGGTGTCACAGAAGGAGCACAGGGTCCCAGGGATGGAGGCAGTCCCACGCTACAGCCGCCGCCGTCTGAGCGCCCTCCACGCTGTAGCAGCCCGAGAGAGCAGGGTCCAAAATTCGGTAGAGCTTGGAGGGGGGGGTGCCCACACTGCTAGTGACTGTTCCTCCTTGGGCCTGGGGTGGAATAAGGGTGGACAGAAGGGGAGTGGGAGGGGAAGGGGGACAGATGGAGAGAGCCGGGTCCATGATTCCATAGAGCTTGGAGGGAGAAGCGAGAAAAGGTGCTGCCTACTCTGCCAGGGATTGTTCCTCTTTAGGCCTGCAGTGGGTTTAGGAAGGACGAAGGGGGGTGGGAATGGGTGGGAATTGGGAGGGAAAATGGAGAGGGCAGGGTACATGATTCGGTAGAGCTGGGAGGGCGAAGCGAGGAAGGGGGCCGCCCATTCTGCCAGGGATTGTTCCTCGTTGGGTCTGTGGTGGGTTCAGCGATGGGAAGGGAGGAGGGTGGAAGGATGGACAGGGCCGGGTCCATGATGCGGTAGAGCTGGCCGGGTCCATGATGCGGTAGAGGTGGGAGGGGGAAGCTAAGAATGAAGCAGCTCCTCCTTAGGCCTGCTGTGTGGCCAGGGAGGAAGGGAAGGGAAGGGAAGGGAAGGGTGAGGAAATGGAATGGACAGAGCAGGGTCTGTGACTCGATAAAGATTGGAGGGGGAGGCGAGGAAGGAGGCAGGCCCCTCCGCTGGAGATTGCTCTGGGTTTAGGAATCGGGTTGACTTGTGTTGACAAACTTTGACTTATCAAGAGCCATTTGACCTGTCATCAGTTCCAGAAGACCCGCATTAACCTGCATTATTTCGCATTGACCCGCATTGACTCGCAATGACCCGCATTGTCCCACATTGACCCGCATTGACCCGCATTGACCCGCATTGACCCGCATTAACCTGCATTGTCTCGCATTGACCCGCATTGACCCACATTGACCCGCATTGAACCGCATTGGCCTGCATTGACCTGCATTGACCCGCCTTGACCCGCATTGAAACGCATTGACTCACCTTGACTTATCAAGAGCCAGACCGCCATTCATCAGCTCCAGCAGCAATGCATACCCACATTGACTCGCATTGACTCACCTTGACTTATCCAAAGGCAGTGGGCCTATCATTAGTTCTAACAGCAGCATTCTGAAGCTGTACACGTCACTTCGATCCATCAGAAGTGACGGACTGTGTTGACCCGTGTTGACCTGCATGGACTCACCTTGACTTGTCTAGAGCCAGCCGCCCTGTCATGAGCTCCAGCAGCACCACTCCAAAGCTGTACACATCGGTTTCAACCGTCGGATGCTCTACTGTTGACCTGCATTGACCTGCGTTGACCTGCGTTGACCTGCGTTGACTCACCTTGACTTATCCAAAGCCAACCGCCCTGTCATTAGCTCCAGCAGCACCACTCCAAAGCCTTACACGTCTTTCCTCCTGGCCAGATGGTCTCACAGACTTCCGTTGACCTGCGTTGACTCACCTTGAATTGTCTAGAGCCAGCCGGCCAGTCATCAGCTCCAGCAGCAACGCGGGCTCGCATTGACTCACCTGGACCTGCACTGACTCCCGTTGACTCACCTTGACTTATCCAAAGCCAGCCGGCCAGTCATGAGCTCTAACAGCACCACTTCGAAGCTGTACACGTCACTCTTCACCGTCAGATGCCCTCTTTGCACCGGTGCCTACTCTCATTGACTCCTGTTGACTTGCGTTGACTCCCGTTGACTCACCTTGACTTCTCCAGAGCCAGTCGGCCGGTCATTAGTTCTAGCAGCACCACTCCAAAGCTGTACACGTCACCTTGATCCATCAGATCAGATGCCCCCAATGTTGACTTGCATTGACTGCCATTGACTCACCTTGACTTATCCAAAGCCAGCCGACCAGTCATCAACTAAAGCAGACCCACGCCGAAGCTGTACACGTCACTCTTCACCAACCGGTGCCGGCTCATATTGACTCATGCTGGCTTGCGTTGACTTGCGTTGACTCACTCACCTCGATTTATCAAGGGCCAGCCTCCCTGTGATGAGCTCTAACAGCACCACTCCGAAGCTGTACACTCTTCACCGCCAGATGGCCTGTCAGAACCAGTGCCTACTCTCATTGACTCCTGTTGACTTGCGTTGACCCCCGTTGACTCACCTTGACTTGTCTAGTGCCAGCCGACCAGTCATCAGCTCCAGAAGCACCACTCCGAAGCTGTACACATCACTCTTCACCGTCAGATGCCCCGTCAGCACGTATTCCGGGGCGGCATAGCCCACCGTGCCCACCACCTGGCATGGGGGGACAAGGAGCAGGAGGGGGAACAAGGAGGATAGGGCAGGAGGGAGGGTTATGAGACGTTGCAAAGGCAGACACGTCACTCTTCAACGTCAGATGTCCCGTCAGCACGTAATCCGGGGCGGCATAGCCCACCACCTGCAGTGGTTGAGAAGGACAGAGAGGGGTGGGGAGGGGTGTGGTGTGGGGGGAGGGAGACGCCAGAGGGGCAAAAGCGTGGGCTTTGAGAGGCGGCAAATCTCACAGCAAGACAGCAAGACAAACTCGAGACACATACTCTAGTGAATCAGACTGGGCACGCGTGTTCCCCACTTGCTCGGAGAAGAGGGCCACGAGATCCACAAGGGCCACGAGATAACGAATGCCCTTTTTATCACGTGACCACGAGCTGCACAAGGCGCTCGTCTCGGTGGCGCTCCGTGGAGCACAAGAGCTCCGTGGAGCACAAGAGCTCCGTGGAGCACAAGAGCTCCGTGGAGCACAAGAGCTCCGTGGAGCACAAGAGCTCCGTGGAGCACAAGAGCTCCGTGGAGCACAAGAGCTCCGTGGAGCACAAGAGCTCCGTGGAGCACAAGAGCTCCGTGGAGCACAAGAGCTCCGTGGAGCACAAGAGCTCCGTGGAGCACAAGAGCTCCGTGGAGCACAAGAGCTCCGTGGAGCACAAGAGCTCCGTGGAGCACAAGAGCTCCGTGGAGCACAAGAGCTCCATGGAGCACAAGAGCTCCGTGGAGCACAAGAGCTCCGTGGAGCACAAGAGCTCCGTGGAGCACAAGAGCTCCGTGGAGCACAAGAGCTCCGTGGAGCACAAGAGCTCCGTGGAGCACAAGAGCTCCGTGGAGCACAAGAGCTCCGTGGAGCACAAGCGCATGCTCCTCCCAACTCCATCAGCACCTTCTCTGGTCCTCTCTTGCCCAACCTCTTGGGCACCCAACGTTGTCCTTCTTACGACGGCGTTCCACTACGTGTTGTTGTCCCCTTCGCCTCCGCTCGCTTCTCGAAGAGACTTCTGGGTCTACTAATTATTTTTTGTGACCGCAGCACACCCTTCTAAACCCAGTGCAACATGTCGGTGCCATTTCCCCAAGTAGATACGCGGGAGTTGTCCCCTTACGGACCCCCTCCTTCTGACTTGTGAGTTGAGCGCAAGTCAAGTGGGCCCACAAGCCACTCAAACGTCAACATCTCTCACCCGTGTGGACACGTGGGTGTTGTCCCCCTCCGGCCCACTTCTCGCGAGCCCAAAATCCGAGAGCTTGGCGTGCCAGTCCCTTGGTCAGCAAGATGCCAGCCCACGGTGCTTACCCGTGAACGTGCATGTGCTTACCCGTGAACGTGCATGTGCTTACCCGTCAACGTGCATGTGCTTACCCGTCAACGTGCATGTGCTTACCCGTCAACGTGCATGTGCTTACCCGTCAACGTGCATGTGCTTACCCGTCAACGTGCATGTGCTTACCCGTCAACGTGCATGTGCTTACCCGTGAACGTGCAGGTGCTTACCAGTGAACGTGCATCTGCTTACCCGTCAACGTGCATGTGCTTACCCGTGAACGTGCATGTGCTTACCCGTCAACGTGCACGTGCTTACCCGTCAACGTGCATGAGCTGAGGTGCTTACCCGAGTGGACACGTGTGTGTTGTCCCCCTCGGGCCCGCTTCTTGCGAGCCCAAAGTCAGAGAGCTTCGCCTGCCAGTCCTTGGTTAAAAGGATGTTGGACGTTTTGAAATCACGGTAGATGATCTGATGGGTGGAGAGGGGTGCAGTGGGGCGGGGTGGGTTGAGATGGGGGATGAGACTAAGTTGGGTCCGTACGTTTTTAGTGAATGTGGCGATGAGGCAAAGGTGGCGGAATTAGTGAGTGGGAGCCCAAAGTCTGAGAGCTTCGCTTGCCAGTCCTTGGTCAACAGAATGTTGGAGGTTTTAAAATCACGGTAAATAATCTGATGAAATGGAGTGGGGTGGGGAGGGGTGGGGTGGGGTGGATGACGAGGCAAAGGGAAGAAAAAGGGGAAGGTGATGGTAGCAGTGAATGAGTGGGAGTCCAGAGTCTGAGAGCTTGGCGTGCCAGTCCTTGGCTAATAAGATGTTGGACGTTTTGAAATCACGATCACGATAGTTGATTTGACGGGGTGGAGTGGGGGCGCGATGGCGGTAGCAGTGAGTGAGTGAGAGCGTGGCCTGCCAGTCCTTGGTTAACGGGATGTTGGACGTTTAGAGATCACGGTCCTTTGAAGTTTAAGACAAGTTAAACCACATCTGAGTCATCTCATCACTCACCGGTTTCTCCATCTCCTCGTGCAAATACGCCAGCCAGGCCCTTGGAGCATTTTGCGCTGTCTCAAGAAACGATATATACAGTGAATTGATATTACATATGAGTCGATGCAAAACTCACCAGTTTCTCCATCTCCTCGTGCAGATACGCCAGGCCCTTGGCCGCCCCGACCGCAATGCCAATCCGCTGCTGCCACGTCAGCGGCGTTTCCTTTGCGGGCAGCCCGAAAAGTTTTCGCTCGAGGGAGCCGTTGGGCAGGTAGGGGTAGACGAGCATGCGGTGGTGGTGGTGCGCGCAGTAACCCACGAGGGAGACGAGGTTGGGGTGGGAGAGATGGGCCAACACGCTCACTTCAGTCAACCACTCGCGCTCGCCCTGAAGTGAGGGATTGGGAGAGGGAGATAGGCAGATGGAGAAGGGAAGAGGGAGAAGGGAAGCAGGAGAGGGAGACACGGGGAGGGAAAGGGGGACGGGCGGGAGAGAGACAGCGTGAAAGGGAAGAGGGGTAGAGGAGCATGTGGCGGTGGTGGTGAGTGCAGTAACTCAGGAGGGAGTTGAGGTTGGGGTGAGAAAAATGGGCCACCAAGCTCACCTCTGTAAACCACTCGCGCTCGCCCTGATGGGAGAAAGGAAGGGGGGAGGGCTGTGGAGGGCGACGAAGGGAGAGATGAAGGGCGCGAGAGATGGGGGAAAGTTGAGGTGTTTCGAGTCGACTCAAAACGAGAGATGGGGAGAGATGAGGTGTTTCGAGTCGACTCAAAACGAGAGATGGGGAGAGATGAGGTGTTTCGAGTCGACTCAAAACGAGAGATGGGGAGAGATGATCTGTTTCGAGTCGACTCAAAACGAGAGATGGGGAGAGATGAGGTGTTTCGAGTCGACTCAAAACGAGAGATGGGGAGAGATGAGGTGTTTCGAGTCGACTCAAAACGAGAGATGGGGAGAGATGAGGTGTTTCGAGTCGACTCAAAACGATAGATGGGGAGAGATGAGGTGTTTCGAGTCGACTCAAAACGAGAGATGGGGAGAGATGAGGTGTTTCGAGTCGACTCAAAACGAGAGATGGGGAGAGATGAGGTGTTTCGAGTCGACTCAAGACAAGAGATGGGGAGAGATGAGGTGTTTCGAGTCGACTCAAAACGATAGATGGGGAGAGATGAGGTGTTTCGAGTCGACTCAAAACGATAGATGGGGAGAGATGAGGTGTTTCGAGTCGACTCAAAACGAGAGATGAGGTGTTTCGAGTCGACTCAAAACGAGAGATGGGGAGAGATGAGGTGTTTCGAGTCGACTCAAAACGAGAGATGGGGGAGAGATGAGGTTTTTCGAGTCGACTACTGCAGCCCTTCAACTATGAGTCAAGGTGACCCTTGGGATCCGAGGGGGGGTTAAAGGCGAGAGGCGGGGAAGTGATGGGAGGAGAGGGATTGGGGCCAAGGGTGTGGGGAACGGAAATGCGAATTCGGAGGGAAAAATGCACCAGCAACTGTGACTGTCTGAAAGCCCTACCTGCTGCCCTTCCGTACGCAGCACTCAGGCTGAAAAAGTCCATGTCAGAAGTGCTTGATAAAAAAAGTCCAAATCAGAAGTGCTTGATAAAAAAAGTCCAAATCAGAAGTGCTTGATAAAAAAAGTCCAAATCAGAAGTGCTTGATAAAAAAAGTCCAAATCAGAAGTGCTTGATAAAAAAAGTCCAAATCATCATACAGAAACCATTTAGAAGCGCTTGATACCAGCCTGCCTGTCGGCCAACATATCTCTACAATCATCTAAAACACTTACCTGCTGTGATTATATCAAAGCCCTACATGCTGTGCTTTGATCAAACGCCTACCTGCTGCCCCTCCGCATTCAGCACTTTCACCGCCACGGGAATCTTGCGCCCGCTTTTCGTGGGTAAATTCCCCTTGTACACCACGCCGAACCCGCCCTCGCCGATTCTACCCTCTTCCGCAAACCCTCCTGCCATCTGCTGCACCTGCGCGTACGTGAAGGGAATCAGGGGCGTCGGCGCTTTCCCCTTGCTGCTGCTGCTGCCACTGCTGCTGCCGGTGCTGTTGGCACTAGCAGCAGCTGAAACTGCTGCGTCTACAGCAGCAGCAGCAGCAGCAGAGGCGGAAGAAGCAGCAGCACTAGCGGTTGGAGAAGCAGCAGCAGCTGCAGCAGCAGAGGCAGCAGCGGCAGCACCAGCAGCTGGGGATGGCGGCGTTGCTTCGGTTACAGTGCTGGTGCAGGCGCTGCTGTCCCCGCTATGGAGCGATCCGTTTCCATCACCAGGTTGTCCTTTCTGCCCTTGATTGTCTCTATGTGACTGCTGCGACGGTTGTTGTTGCTGCTGCTGTTGTTTCTCCTCACCCCCTTCCTCTCCATGCCTCACTAAAGACCCCAAATTTCTCTCCCCTCCTCCCCCTACTCCCCGCTCACTCGCCCCCAAGGGGGCGGCGCTGGGGGAAGGCGGAATCACAGCTCGCGCGTCCCCCGCGCCCCCCGCGCCCCCCACGCCCCCCGCCCCCCCTGCGCCCGCGCCACCTGCCGGGCTCGCGGGTTGCGCGCTGGACGCGGCAGCTGCGCGCGCGGCGATTTCGCCGCTCGCTGGCAGTGGAAGGGGCACCGCCGCTGCCGCAATTCCCGCAGCGAACGGAGCGCCGGAGGCGCTGGGGACGCCGCCAGCGCCGACAGCGGAGGGCGTAGCGGCGGGAGAGGCAGCGGCGGAACCGACCTGCGCCACCTGCGCGGGCGGAGCAGCGCCGGCGGTTTTCGGAGAAGCATTTCTGGAGTTCTCCGCGGGTTGGCTGGCGCCGGGGGAATGCGAGGCGGGGGAGGCGGAAGCAGCGGAGGGGGAGGCAGAACGGGTGGAGGGGGAGATGGAGGATGCGCCGACGGGGATAGAGGACGCGGAGGAGGCGGAAGAGGCGGAAGAGGCGGAAGCGGCAGAAGCAGCGGAAGGGGCGGATGCGGCGAAGGACGCGGCGGCGGAAGATGCAGGGAGGGGGAGGCGCGCCAATGCGCTGGGGGTGCGCAACGGCTGCGCGGCGGACGGCTTCTTCCGCCCGCGCGGACTCTGGAAGCTTCCGCCCGCCGCCACTCCGCGCGGGCTCGGGGCGTCAGCGCCTACCTGGACAGGACCTGCTGACGTGGCGGTAGCTGATGACGTGGCGGCCTTAGGGGCGGGCAGCGGAGCAGCAGGGCTTGGGAGACGATGCGCGGCGAACGCGTTAGTAGCAGCAACTGAGGCGCCGGCTCCTCGCGGACTAGGAGTTACGACAGTTGGAGACGCGATTCTGGGAGAATTATTATCAGTATTAGCAGCAGTAGCACCAATAGCAGCAATGGTAGCATTAGTAGTAGCAGCAGAGGATATTAGAATCGGCGGTCCCGCAGGGTTCGGACTTAGCACCGAGGCGGACGCCGCCTGCTGCGGCTGTTTTGTAGTAGCGGGGGAAACGATATCACCGTCACCATTCGATATAGTCACGATAACGGAATCCGCGGGTAGCAAAGGCCCGCTGTCGGGACACGGAAGCGCGGTGGGAACAGCATTAGGGTTCGAAAGTAGAGCAGTTGGATTCGGTAACGCGGATCCGGCTGCGGTTGGGTTCGGTAAGAAGGACGGATCTGGCAATGTGGCGGTGTTGGTGGTGATCCCAGTAGGGTCTGCTGCGGTGTTGGAAATATGTCGCTTCAGCGCTCTCGGGCTCTTCGCGTCGCTCGCTGATCTACTAACCGCGGTGGGATTCTTGGCGTCGCTCAGCGTTCTCGCGACTGTCGGATTGTTTTGCGGTGGCGGTGGGGAAGCGTCCCGTGTGTTGCCGCCGCCGAAGCAGAAACAGCTCATTTCAGACGGTCCGAATTCTTAAAAAGCGCGGCGACGACCTTCTATTGTACTAAACTCGTCTGATAGTTTGTGTGCGAATGAAATGTACTAAAGTTGTGCGAGCTTCTTTTGGAGATTATTGACTGGCTCAAAGCGGGAGTCACGGAATCAACCAGCGACAGTCGCAGGTATCTCTCAAAAAATGAGGGGGGGTCCAATTCGCTCCCAACGCAGGTACCGTCAACTAACTTAGGGCGTGTCACTTCGGACGTTCAAAGGGGCTTGTTCGAACAAGCACCGTACTTAGCTTAACCGCTTGATTTTTAAAACGTATTATACCAGCGCCAACTCCCAGAATTTTGGAATTCGAACAGCTGGTTACACGCCCTACTCCAAGTTCGGCCCAACTCGACCCGAACAAGGCTCGAAATTCCAACCAGCTGCTATTGCCCACGGACTTGCATCAGGCCCGCAATTTAAAAAATCTGGTGTTGCGCGAATCCAGTGTGTGCATTTTCGCGCTTTTGTTGACTGTTACATACTCGCCGAAGCAAGAATCGACTGAGACTGGCGTGCACAGGTCCGACCATATGTCTGCCTTTGCATCGTAACCGATATCTTGTTAGAATAGTGACTCGCACACTCTATAAATGTAGTTCTTACCTTACAACATGCTCCTGCAACAACACGGCGCAAAGAGACGCGACCAATTCTAGGAATCCGGCGCAAAAATACAGTGTGTCTATACGTTTTGAATTGGACCTATGGGTGGCCATGTATAGCGAAAAAAAAAAAAAATTGCGCCCCTAACCACCTACGCTGCCGGCGTGGAGCAAACGTGCGCATATCACATTCATGTAACTCATGCTTGTAGCGACGCCGTTTAGGTAGTGTCGAGGTTAAATTCCCATTGTTTTCTCTTATTGCTATTGACCGCCCTCTCCTCAAGGTTCAAATTCAGTTCACATCACACTATCGCTCGTCCCCTTGCTCTTCTGTCCCAGAGTCATCGTCATCGTCTTTAAGTTGCAAGCTGGATCGATGCAGCTCACGGTCCCTGATATAGGGTTGCAAGGGGAAGCAATGGATGGGGTGTTAGTACATGAAACCAAGCATCTGCTTCATTACCAAACGCAAAGTTCCACACGCATTAGACATGGGGCGATACTACATGGCTGAATGTGTGTCTAGGTATCTATTCACGTGCTAGGCGCATCTGGAGGGTTTGTTGGACATGCGTTTCGTTGTGGTCATGATTTAGGGATGGAGGGTTGCTCATGGGACACTATGTCATTTCCCCCAGGACCCCACTCCCCGCCCCCTCTCAACTTTTCCTCCCTCTCAAGTACTAGTAGTTAAGCATTACTCAGCGTCTTATGTATGTACGATGCGGTCGCCTATGCATATATCCATCCGTAGAAGTCCCAATGTCGAGGGCATGGCCATACTTGCTTGCCCCCTTATGCAAAACCAGGCGCGCCTGTCAACATGTTATAATGCTTATATTGTGTAGGCTGTAGAGGGGTAGCCCATAAGGGGTACAACCCAATTAGGGTTAGTACTTGTACTCAGTTCTATCTCAATTCAATCATTCTCGTTCAGTATTCTGACATGGTATCAGAGCAGGTCCTGTTCTAGGACCGTTCTTTTAGGGCCCACCAAATAGTTCCCTGCCCGTAGCGCGTTACCCTGCTCGTAGCGCCCTACCCTACCCGTCGCGCTGCCCCACCAGTCGCGCTGTCCTGCCCTGCCCGTCGCGCCGCCCTGCTGGCCGCGCGCTGCCCTGCTGGCCACGCGCCGCCCTGCTAACTGCCGCGCGCCGCCCTGCTAACTGCCGCGCCGCCCTGCGCTGCCCGTCGCGCCGCCCTGCTGGACGCGCGCCGCCCTGCTAACTGCCGCGTCGCCCTGTCCTGCCAGTCGCGCCGCCCTGCTAGCCGCGCGCCGCCCTGCTGGCTGCCGCGCCGCCCTGCCCTGCCCGTCGCGCCGCCCTGCTGGCTGCGCGCTGCCCTGCCCTGCCCGCGCGCCGCCCTGCTGGCCGCGCGCTGCCTTCCCCTGCCCGTCGCGCCGCCCTGCTGGCCGCGCGCTGCCTTGCCCTGCCCGCGCGCCGCCCTGCTGGCCGCCGTGCCGCCCTGCCCTACCCGCGCGCCGACCTGCTGGGCGTCGCGCCGTCCTGCCCTGCCCGAGTGCCGCCCTGCTGGCCGCCGCGCTGCCCTCCCCTGCCTACGCGCCGGCCTGCCCTAGCCGCGCGCCGCCCTTTCCTGGCCGTGCGCCGCCCCGCCCTGCCCTGCACGCTTCCCTAGTGCCCGCGCGCCGCCCTGCCCGTCGCGCCGTCCTTCTGCCTGCGTGCTGCCCTACTTGTCGCGTGCCAACCTGCTCTGCCCGCTATGGCTTCTCTCAGTGTTCTCACCTTCGATCCTAAGGGCCGTCCGATCTAGTTTGAGACCTGGCAAGACGACTTACAGCTCTACCTACAGAGCGAGTCTAGGGATGGCGTCTCCTTGTTTGACCACACGTCTGGGACCTCTCTCGCTCCTCCCGAGACAGCTGACAGTGCGACTCACTCACAGTAGCTTATCCGTGACGCTACTGCTCACCTCGCCATTCGCAACCACCTGCAGTTAGCCGAACGCGCGCACTTTGGCCAGCACAAGATTGCTAAAGCACTGTTCGATGCTGTAGTCGCTCGTTACTCCTCCCCTGCCACTGCTGCTCTTGGCCGACTTATCCTGCCCTACCTTTTCCCGAGCTGTCAGCCTTTCCCACAGTCGACGGCCTCATCACCCACCTTCGCACTAGCGACACTAGCTACCGCGCCGCGCTTAAAACCGAGTTTCTAGACAAGAACCCCCCCAACCCCCCCCCCCCCCCCCCCCCCCCCCCCCCCATGTACATCACTCTCTAGTTCATCGGCACCCGCCTCCCTGACTCTCTTCGCGCAGTCAGGGACCTCCTTCTCACCCTTGACCCCACGGCCCTCACTGTCGACCTGCTCGAGAAGCACCTCCTTGCAGCTGAGACTAGCATAGTCGCTGTAGGTGCTGCTCGTGGCAGTCCTCGCACTCCCTTCTTTGAGGGGTGTTCCCCCTCCCCCCTTGCCCCCTCTTTCGCCTCTGCTTCTGCTGTTGACTTCCTTCGTGCTGAGGAGGTCGGGGCTGCGTGTGCTCCTAGTGGGAGGCGCCGCAGCGGCAAGGGCAAGGGAGCCAAGAGTGGTGGGGGTGGCAGCGGTGGAGGCGGTGGTGGAGGCGGTGGAGGCGGTGGAGGTGGCAGAGGTGGTGGTGGGAGTGGTGGTGTGAGTGGAGGCGTCGGTGGCGGCGGTGGTGGTAGCGGTGGGAGTGGTGGTGGCAGTGGTGGTGGCAGTGGGAGTGGTGGCGGCGGCGATGGTGGCAGCGGCAGTGGTGGCGGTCGGGGTGGAGCCGTTCAGAGGGGAGGTTCTGGCGATGGCCAGCGGCAGCAGCAGCAGCGTCCGCGCGGGACCCCTACGCCCCAGGAGCTTCGTGAGTGGTATGCTCAGCGTGGGGCGTCTGGGGGTAGTGTTCGCTGCACGTACGTCATTCGCACAGGTGACCGTGCTGGTCAGACATGCGGGAAGGTTGGTCACACACAGTACCGCTGTTTCTCCCGTCTTGACGACGCCTGGCACGCATAGTTTGGTGACGAGGCTGGGCTGCTAGAGCTGCTTAGGAACGATGTGGATATATTTGCTCTTGACTATGACACTATCCTTGCTGCCATGTATGCTTTGATTGTTAGTGCTGAGGGTGACTGTTACCTGTGTGTGCCGCCCGACCCAGGTATAGAGTCTGCTGCTCTAGGTGCTAGTGAGTCTACTCTCTCTGGTACTGCGCCTGCTGAGGCCTTGCACACCTTCACGCTTGACTCAGGTGCTTCCCGCTGCTTCTTTCGTGATAGTACCACAGTCACACCACTCGCAGCACCAGTTGCAGTCTCTCTGGCTGACTCCTCAAGGGGCCCGGTTCTTGCACGTTCCTCCACTGTTCTCCCGTGTCCGGCGGTTCCGTCTGGCTCGCTCTCAGGTCTTCACCTCCCCTCGTTCTCTACGAACTTGGTGAGTACCGCTGTTCTCCAGGATGCAATGGTCACTACCACCACTCCTGGGGGTCAGCGTGTGTCGATCTGCACGTGTGCACGGACGGGCCGTCACCTGGCCACGTTCACCCGTCGGCCTGGGTCGAGCCTGTACACACTGACTACTGAGCCTACTCAGGTGGCTGCGTCTGGTCAGGCGTCCGCGTCAGGTCAGGTAGTCGCCCCCTGTTCGTGTCGTCTCCTCTCGCACCAGACTCTCCTCTGGCACCACCGCCTTGGTCACCCCTCCCTGCCACGCCTCCATGGCATGCACTCCCGCCTCCTTCTCTCTGGTCTTCCGAGGTCTCTGCCTCCCCTCCCGCCCTCGCCTGCCCTGCCCTGCCTTCCTTGCGTCGAGGGGCAGCAGCGCGCCGCTCCTCACTCCTCCTCGATTCCCCCGACGACTGCTCCCCTGCAGACTCTCCACATGGACGTGTGGGGCCCAGCCCGCGTCAGTGGACAGGGCCGCGAGCGCTACTTTCTGCTGGTTGTTGACGACTACATGCGTTACACCACGTTCTTCCCCTTGCGCAGCAAGGGGGAGGTCCCTGATGTCTTGATC